TATGAGGCGCTTTGGCACCGAGGCAACCACCAACAAGTGTAAGGGGAACCGAGATGCAGAACCAAAGCAAGAGCAATATAACAAAAAGGGAAAATGGAATGGCTCCAGTACTGTGACTACCCCATAAAAGGAAGTTCAGAGTGGTTAAGATAAAGAAGGCAATACCGGGAAAGAAGCACGAGACCTTCCACGAGACAGAGATCCAACCTTTGTTGTCGCCACAACCGATCGTCCTCCATAAACGAACAGCAAAATAACCAGCTGCAACACCAAGAATCATATAGAAAAATAGCATACCAGTAATAAGCGTTCCACGAGATGCTGGCGACATGAATCCTAGAGCAGCAAATAATATGGTCACCACTGCCATTCCAAGAATCTGAACTCCATTACCAACCATAATACATAGGAGTGAAGGACTTGTGGGAGCCCTAAAAACATCTCCAACAACAAGCTTCCAGCCAGATAACTCCTCATTCATCTGAGCTTGGGCCTCCTTGTCAAGCTCCTCGTACCGGGTCAGATCCCGCCTAACCGTCCTCAAGAAGATAACAAAGACAATACCAGCAAGAAAAGTAATCACCATCATAGAATTCATGATTGAGAACCAATGGACTTTGGATCCCTCCATCTTAAGATATGCATCCCACCTCGATGGCCATTTGATATCGCTCTCCTCGAACATAACTTCATATGTAAAAGCAATAGGCTGGCCTTCCTTGATAGACATCGACACGGTCGTGGGATCACACTGTACCGCACTAGGATACGCTTGGTACATTTTCAAGTTCTTCACCTGATCAAGATTGTGCACAATGCTACACGGTACAACCTCGAACCCAACGACCATATATCCAGGCACATCAGATCCCCCTTTCCCAATCGTCGGGATCAACTCAGCAGCATCACCAGTCCCCATTACACGAGCCATATTGGCATCCTCATATTTATGAACAAGGACCTTGAATTTCAAATGATTAAACACATAGTAAGCATCTTTAACCTTAACACCAACAGGATAACCAGTCCACCGCAGGACATAACCTTCCTTCTGAGTATAACGAATCGCAGGTAGATTGTCAAGAATCAAATTAACCTGATACATTTCATCAATTCTCTCCTTCATGATCTTAAACTGATCAGATGTCAATGGATCTGAAGCACACACAAAGATATCCGTTTGATTTGTGAACATCTTAAACTGATAAGGTGAATTCTCAATTCGATCTCCCATTAAAAGCTCACCAAGATTCTCAGCACTGTCCTTAACACCTTCTGAAGGCTTACAAAACGGCAAACTATAATACCCATATGGCAATTCGGTTTCGATAGATGTAAGAGAATTAACCTTCACTGACAAGAAGTCGCCAACATTGTATTTGTGGGGATAGCTACCAGGAAGGTAAAACCCATAGCCGAGTTGAAAAATCAAAGAACAAGTTAAAACCCAGATCCGGAATCGACTGAACAACTTCATTCTCGACAAATCCATATTCGATTTGTATCGGATCTGAAACCGCCGGATCAGGGGAAAAAAACAATGCCGAATCAAGAACAAACGAGTACGCAATCGTTTAATCGAATTTGCAAGAGAAAATCTAAAACAAATGCTATAAACATACAGGAAACTTCAAATGAAATTAACAGAAATTACGCGTAGGAAATAGCAAAACAACAAAATTAAATCAAAATGGCTAAAAATTTCGTTTGCAAGAAACGATCCAACAGACCTTTTTACAGAATCGCTACAATCTCCCACGAGAAGGGAAATGTGCACCGGCAGCAGCAGTGATGGAGGAAGAAGGGAGATTACCGGAGAAATGGTTATGGCGGAAGAGACAGCGTCCCTATAATGAGCAACCAAAAAACATTCAGTTTCTACGGGCAGCGTGGGCAGGACTCACGCCTTTAAATTCATGTTTTATTTTGTTTTTTGAAGAGTAAAAAATCCTCAAAATAAAAAAATATATTTTTTTTTAATATTTTATATTCTTATTATAGGAATAAATAAATGTAAATATGATTAAATCAAATACGAGAGATTCAAATCACGAGCATAACCTAATTGATTAAATCAAATATCAGATATTAATTAAAAAATAATATATGATGAGTGTTGATGTGACTCAATAACTCGACCAACCTAACTATCAATTAAAATCATAAAAGTTGTGTTAGGTCATTTTTTTTTAGGATTAATTTGTGGTTGACATTTTTTTGGTCGGGTTAAGAAAAAATTGAGTTAAAACACAACCTTACCCTACTTTTTATTACGTATTTGACTTTTGTAACCGACATGAGTTGTCCGTTAATATTTGATGTTTGGGATTTATGCAAATTTTAGTAGAGGTGTACACAGATTGAGTCGAGCTGAAAAATACTTTTGACTTAACCCAAAATTTCATATTGGTTGGGTTAGTAATCCGAACAACCTGAATAGACTTTACAACTTAACCCTCTATTTTCAGTTGTGTTGTTGGTTTTTTTCTTTTTAATTATTTAAAAAACATCTTTATCAAATAATACATGTCACGATAACTATAATATCAAGAAAAAAAATTTAATTCAAATTAGCATTTAAATTAAACTAGAAATTAAAAAAAAAATAATAATAATAATTATAGTATTCCACCGACGGGACTAGTTGGATATTTAGACACGTGGAGGAGCCCAATGCCCTCCTCGTAAACGGTGAAATGTCATAAATGAACGGACAAATTACAGCGGTGAAAAAAATCCAAATAAAATTACTGAAATTAAGCTGGTTTACTTTTAAATTTAAACCATAAATATTTATTATTATTATTTAATTAAGCATTTAAATATTTTTGTATTATTGAACTATTCAACTATACTGAATTTTTTTTTTTGTCAATTTACTTTCATAAATTATAATATTTATGTCTGTTTCATAATATTTTTGGATTAAATTAATAAAAATATCTTAAATTATTAAAAGACAAACCATATCAATAAAAATTGTTACTGTCGATATACGGACGAATATCGTTTATCGACACCTCATAGATTACCTCTTAATATTTTAATGTTACTTTTCAAAATTCATCAGTATTTTTGAAGTTCAGTATGAACGGTAAGAATATTTTGAATTTTTTAAAAAAGTTTAAACGCTTTTTTTTAAGAGTATTAATAAAGTTTTTAAAAAATTAAGAATATTTAAAATACATTTAAAAGTTAGAAGGATGTTTTTTTTTAATTAAAGATATTTTTGAAATAAAGTATTAATATATATATTTTTTAATTCTTGAAATGACTATAATATCGAGTTATTGACGGTCTATTTAAATTATTAAAATATTTATTTTAATATTCATATTTTCCAGCTTGGATTCTAGAAGAACACGTGGGTGTTGGTATGGTTGGTAAGAAAGAGTTTGTTTACAAGAAACAAGAATTTGGTTTTGAACCTTCTCTCTCAATAATGCAAAGATTATGTCTGGAATAATTACAGTTTTACCCCTTAGTTAAATTTTCATTTAATCCTCAAATTATAATTATTACATTTTTATTATTTAATTTTGAACTTTATTTCATTTTATGAATTAATTTAAAATAATTATAAAATTATTAAAATAAACTAAAAAAATCTACATAATAACATTTTTAATTAATTAATTGAAAGTTAATGTTAGTAAAATCGGATAGAAATGTAAAAGATATAAAATAATTGTGTTACATTTTGAAATAAAAATCAATTGAAAAGTAGATTTTATTAACAAATATAAACTCACTACCAAAAGAATATATTCCCCTAATTTTATTAACATATTTTATATTATAAAATTTTACAATTGTTATCATATAATTTATAATATAATATGTTACACGTGTATAAAATAAAAAAAATGAAATGGGAATAGAATAAATATTTTTAAAGATAATAATAATAATAATAATAATAATAATATCATTTCAGAATATTAATAAAAACTCGGTGGTTTGAACCTCAAAAGATTTACTCAAAGGGACTGAAAATTTCCATTTAAATGGAAAATAGGCGAGCGAGTGGGAAGAGATTTTTCCGAAGAAAAAAAAAAAATATATATATTATTATATTTTAAAATTATGTTGAATTATGATTTTATTTATAAAATATTGGATATATTAAAATATTTTTCATTCCTTTAATAAAAGTTATTTTGAAAAATTAATCTGAAAATTACAGAGTGATTATTTATTTTACAACTAAAAAGCCAATATATATATATATATATTAAAGGTTGTTTTAACGTTTAGTATTGAATTTATTAGGTCTTAACAAACAAATAGCGCCTAAATTTTAAAAACAATGAGTCAAATAATAGGTTGGACCATACACCAACTATTCGGTATGGAGTCCGTAAATAATATGGCATAGATATGGAAGGGTTCACTACTCCGATAGAATCCGAATGGATGGACGTTTGAGATGTCTCGATGTTATGAACGACACATAAGCTCATTATCGATAGATAAAACCGAACAAGCTACGATGGCTGATGACATAAAAAAAATCGTGTCAATTAGGAGCCAAGATGATATGATGAAATGCTACGTTGTGTTCAGAGACTTTGTCTGGAGTAGAAGCAAAGGTTAAACCAGATGACTTATTATAATACAGAGGCAAATCCGTTAGATCGCGAAAGATTGGACATGTAGGCAAGACTTTGGTCTGGAGTAGAGGAAAAGGTTAAACCAGATGACTTATCCTAGTGTAGAGAACCCGTTAGATCCTGAAAGATTGGACATGCAGGCATAGACATCGTGTGTTTTAATCCAAACACCAATTTATTTATTATTATTTTTTTTGGTGGGTAACTAAATTTGGGTCGTTTTATCGCCGGACACAAAAAACAACCCCGCCATTTATTTCGGTACCCGTTCCCCAATCCCCATTTTTGCCGCCTATAAATGCCACTTCCTACGCCCAATCCCGGTCTCTCTCTCCCACGCATTTCTTCAAACATCTTCCGCTCGTGGTGGTCCGATCCTATTCTTCCATGGCCGCCGACGGCCTCCTCCGCCCTGTCTACGAGGCTTGCATCGCCGGCTGCGACACCGAGATCGACCGCCGCCCCTACCACCGCAACTGCGGCTGTGCACTCCACAAATCCCGTCGTCAATCTCCTCGCTGCTCCCATTCCAAGTCTAAATCCATCTTCTATCCCATTCGCCGATCCTGGAGTGAAGGTTGCTTGGCACTCGCCCTCGCCTCTGCTTCATCTTCCCCTTCCTCCTCCCCTGTCATCGGTAAGACCTCTCAACCTGGTGTCGCTTTGAGCGACGATGACGACGACGCTCCTCTTCAGCTTGCGAGGAATTGAATCCGATTCTTCCTCTTCTTTTGTTTTCACGCTTTCGACAATTTTCCTGCCCTAGGTTTTGAATAATTATGAACCATATGAGATGATTTATAATTGTTGTGTGTGTGTTTTTTTTTTTCTTTTAAAGTTTCTGTGATCTGAAAAACAATACTGGATCCATTCTTGTTTTGAGTCGTGTTTTTTACAACTTGCCGTCAAATAGATGGCGAGGATTGATAATCGGTCTTCTCTGTGTTTGGAGAAGTGCCGTTGGTGATTAAGATATACTCCACCATGTGTTTATAGCGTATGTAATTGTATATATACATATATGTTTTTTATGTTCTCTGTCTTCTTCTGAATTTGTTCCTGATTGTTGGTAATCTGCCATGGAAATCTTCTGTAGCATCTGCTTCTTGATCGATTGTTTCTTCTTTTTTCCGTAACGAGTTTGAGGAATAATCTGGCAAGTGGATGCCAATGAATAGAAATGGATTATTTCTTCCAAATTGGAGATCCACCATGATCTTCACGAAGAACAGAGGAATTAAACCTTATTTCTTCAATTTTTTTGGGTGAACTCTAGGGTTTTAAGAAATGGTAGAAAGCATATAAACTAATTAAAATAGAAATACTTGAAAGCTTATAAATAATCAATATAAGAAAATAAAATTGAAATTAACATTTATTAAACTTTATAGGGATTTATAATGTGAATAAGAGAATCAACGTGAGGTCTAATTAAAAATAATCAAAACTAAGGATATAATTAAAATTTTCAATATTGAGAATAAAATAAATAAATATATATAGTAACAACAAAATGATTTTTTTAGGAGTTTTTGCTCTACTTGTTTAAAAAATAAAACTATCGTTGTCTCGAAAATCACACCAAGGAATGTCCTCATCCTATAGTTTTTTTTTTTAATATTTTAAATAAAATTTTAATGGATAATTCTCATTTCAATATTATTACCTCATTTTTTTAAACTCAAATTTGAATATGAGATTTCAATACTATTACCTCATTTTTTTAAACTCAAATTTGAATATGAGAGAATATAATTTTCATTTTTTAGATCTGTCCAGGGGAGAAATCTCTTGCGAGGAAAGCCTCTTTCTTTTTCTTTCTTTCCTGATTCTGGGTAAGATGTTTTGTGGGTAATAAGTATTACACAGCAAATCTCCCATACAGCAAACCCTCTCTACCAAAAACTCGATATACCAAAAACTCAATACACCACCACCACTGTCTAAAGAGTCATACCGCTGTTTCCCCACTCGCCCTGCACCAGGATAATAATGCAGTCATCGAAGGAAATACCACTAAGCCTTCGGCTTTGGCGCACAGTGGAAGGTGCCCTACTCCACTGATCCTGTCTCAGATGTAAAGTAAGTTGCCAAAACCTTAACATCAGAGTTTGGAAACAGTGTCAGGCGTAAGGAGTATGGGATTCTTTGGTGTGAGTTATATTCTCTGTTGTGTGGTGTTGGTAATACCTAAAGGGACGGGTTATGTGTAGGGTACTTTTGTTAATTGGGAATCTCTTCTTTTTCCAGATCTGTCTAGTGTTAAATTAATTGGGAATCTCTCATTTTTTTTCTTCAGAATCTCTGTAGAAATTTTTATTTCAGATCTATTTAGTTAATGGGAGGAATCTCTCCTTGCTCCTCTTAGCTAACGTGGAGAAATTTTCATTTTAGATCTGTTTAGTTAACGGAAAAATCTCTCCTTGCTTCTCTTAGTTAACGTGGAGAAATTTTCATTTTAGATTTGTTTAGTTAATGGGGAGGTTTTCATTTCAGATCTATTTAGTTAATGGGGAGGAATCTCTCCTTGTCTCCTAGCTCTTCTTAGTTTACGTGGAGAAATTTTCATTTCAAATATGTTTAGTTAACGACGAGGAATCTCTCCTTGCTCCTCTTCATTCTCATTATAAACATAGGTCTCTGCAAAGTGGTAAGACCATGTATGGAGGCTGACGCTTGTCCTGTCGAGTGCTGGAAGGTCAAAGAAGTTGGTGAGTCGGCGATCGAAGCCCTAGTGAATGGCGACCTAAGGTAGCGAAATTCCTTATCTGATAAGTTTAAGGTCAAAGAAGTTGTTTACGTGATAACAAAGGAGCCGGCGACCGAAGTCCTAGTGAATGGCTACCGTAACTAAAACGGTCCTAAGATAGCGAAATTTCTTATCAGATAAGTTTTGACCAAAGGCTTGGTGACTTGATAACAGAGTAGCCGACGACCGAAGCTCTAGTGAATGGCGACCATAATTATAACGGTCCAACGAAATAATAATTTGGGCACTCGAGTTCCATAGGTCTTCAAACCCAACATCTCTAGCTGAGATTTTTTTTTAAAATTATTAAATTTAGTTTTATTCTAAAATTATATTAGCGAGATTAAATAGACCAATCAAAATCCATGACCAAAATGTATATTTTATTTTTACTCTTTAAAAATCAATTTCCTTGGAAGCCCAAAAAAAAAAAAAATATATATATATATATATATATATATATATATATATCTGAATAAGTAGTGGGCCCACTCTCTTGTCTGTGGTCACCAATCCTCCATTTCCTTCTACCTCCTCACTGCTCTCTCTCACATCCACAAACACGATGGTCCATCTTCACTCATTTCCCGATGATGGCCTTCTCTCTCGTTTCCACCACCACCTCCTCCTCCGCTTCCGCCGCCACCGCCGTGCTATTACCTCCACATCACCACCACCGCCGTCGCCCTACCGGAGACATTGCACTTCCTCGTCGATCCCTCCTCCTTCTCTCCACGTCCCTCTCTCTCTCCACCGCTGTCGATCCACCTCCCTCCCCGGCTTCCCCTTCGCCGGACACCACCATCACCGACCGCGTCTTCATCGACTTCAGCATTTGCCCAACCAACTTCCTTCCCAATCGTGAATCCGCCGATGATGGCGGCGATTCCATCCTCTGCTCCGATTCCGCCCTCCTCGGTCGCCTCGTTCTCGGCCTCTACGGCCACCTGGTTCCAATCACCGTCGCCAATTTCAAATCCATGTGTACCGGATCCTGCGGCTCCTCGTATAAGGGCACTTTGGTCCACAAAATCTTCCCTGGCCAATTCTTCCTCGCCGGTCGACAGGGTCGCCGCGACAAAGGAGCAGTCCGGCCACCGCAACAATTACCGAGAAATACGGAGACGGTGAAGTCAGATTCGTTCTTGCTTTCGCATTCTAGAGGCGGCATTGTTTCTTTGTGCCTTTCGGAGAACGACGACGACGACGAATTGAAATTGGATCCAAATTATCACAATGTGGAATTCTTGATCACCACCGGCCCTGGCCCCTGCCCCCAGCTTGATAGCGAGAACATTGTCTTCGGGACTGTGCTTGAAGGTACAAATTCAAACTAATTTCTCACGATTTACTCTTTACATTTTACATTTGATCCTTATGATTAGTTTTAGAAGTTTCAATTAATCAGTTTCATAATCCTGCATGCCATTTCTAATCCAATCCATTTGGCACATTAGCTCAGGAGGGATATATGTTGAGATTTATTGGGAGGGAGTCCCACCTTCGTTAATGGAGGGATTGATCATGGGTAAGGAATAGATCTCTATTGGTATGGAGAAGCCTAAAGCAAAGCCATGAAACCTTACGCTTAAAGTAGACAATATCACACCACTGTAGAGAGTCATGATTCCATAGCATCAGAGCTATGCTCTTAATTTAGCCATATCAATAGAATTCAAGTGTTGAAAAAAGAAATGGCTAGCATTGAAGGTGTAGTCAAAAGTGACTCATGCGTCAAACAAAGGTGTACTTTGTTCGAGGGTTGAGGAGTCGAGCCTCGAATAAGGGGAGCCTATTCGAGGGCTACATAAACCTCAGGAGAGGCGGCTCTATGGTGTACTTTTTTCGAGGGGAGAATTGTTGGGAGAGAGTTCTACGTTGGCTAATTTAGGGGTTGATCATGAATTTGTAATAAAGAATACATCTCTATTGATATGAGGTCTTTTGGGAAAGTCCAAAGCAAAGCACCATTGTGGAGAGTCGTGATTCTTAATAGCATACAAATAATGTCACTCATTTTTCACTCCAGTAAAGTTTAATCATAGCATAGATGATTTAAAACAAAGATCAAATTGTAAGGAGAAATCGAATAACTTCACCAAATTAGTGCTAAGCAAAAGGGATGAAATTAGTACAAAAGATTTTTGATATCTGTGTAAAATTTGGGAATTTCAGGTCTGGATGTTGTGGCAGCCATATCCTCAACTCCAACATACAAGCCATCTGAGAGAATTAGGCAATTCAATGATTTGGCTAAGTTCTTAGGAGATGAAAGGGCTCAAAATGCAAGAACAATATGGAACAGACCTCTCCAAACTGTTTATATCAGTGACTGTGGAGAACTCAAAGTTGCAAAGCCTTCACTGACTCCAACTCTGCCTTAAACACAGCCCACTTGCCCTTTGTTATCTCTCAAGGTTCCATTTCTTTGCCTTCTCATATTTCTTTGTGTTCTTCTGTGAAAATTGAACATTCCATCCCCATGTTTTTGTTTTTGTTTTCTCACATGAACAAAGGGCTAACCAGGCCTCAGTTCTTGTTGTGACCATTGTTTGTGTTCAAACCAATCGGAAATCAAATTTTGATGTCAATGCTGTTGACGTTTTATATGCTAAAGAAAGCACAAATTCGTTGTTGTTCACTCATTGTTATTGTTTTTGTCCTGTTCGTTATATGTGAGATCTCATATCGGTTGGGGAGGGGAACAAAATATTCCTCATAAGAGTGTAGAAACCTCTCCTTAATAGACGTGTTTTAAAACCGTGAGGTTGACGATGATATGAAATGCACCAAAGCGGACAATATTTGCTAGTGTTAGACTTGGGCTGTTACAAAATGGTATCAGAGCCAGACACCAGGGCGGTGTGTCAGTGAGGACACTGGACCTCCAAGAGGGTGGATGGTGAGTTTTCATATTGGTTGGAGAGGAGAACGAAACATTCCTTATAAGGTTGTGGAAACCTCTCCCTAATAGATGTGTTTTAAAACCGTAAGACTCACGGCGATATGTAACGGGCCAAAACAGACAATATCTATTAGCGGTGGGCTTGGGCTGTTACCTTCTATATTCCATTTTTTAGAAGCAAATGTGTATCTAATGGTTTGTTGGAGTTATTTACCTGAGTTTCCGACCCATGTTCAACCAATGTTAGAATTATATTGAATTTGTTTAAATACTGTTCAATGTTTTTGACATAGTTTCGAGCACGAACACGAACACACACATTATATCTCAAACTAGAGTGTCTACAATATCAAAGAGACTGTAAACTAGCTAGCCATATATATTTGAAGGATAATCTCTCCTAAGAACTAGTACCCGAAATTGCCTTGGACCACCAAACTCCCCAACTCATTCTGTTTATAATCATTGGAACTCTAATAAGTTAGTCATGTAATTATAAATATGTCGGTTATTATTTCATTCGTTTATTAGTATTCCTCATATTAATTTATCTCTCTCTGGATAGAATGTACTGAAGCCTATATTTTGAAAGTCGTCAACGGAAACATAAGTTAGCTAGTTAAGACATTATATTATCAATCAAAAAGTAAGATGTTTGAATCTATTGTGAGATCCCACATCAATTGGAGAGAGAAACGAGTGACAGCGTGAACGCTGAGCCCATCAATTGGTGAGGGAACAAGTGTCAGCAAAGATGCTGGGTCCCGAAGGGGGTGGATTGTGAGATCCCACATCGGTCAGAGAGAGAAACAAAATCTTCTTGGTAAGGGTGGGAAAATCTCTCCCTAGTAGATAAGTTTAAAAACTTTGAGGAGAAGTGTGAAAGGAAAAACCCAAAGAGGATAATATATGTTAGCGGTGGACTTACTACTTTCTTTCTCGTTCCATTTGTTTGTCTTTTCATCATCTTTCATTTGTGTTCTTTGTAAATGAAAACTTCATCTCCTTGTTTTTGTCCAGGCTTCAGTTTAGTTTGATCATTGTTTGCGCTGGAATTTGAGAGTCATCATTTGAAAATGATGATCAAATATGGCTCGTACTCTTTCATGCAAGCCCTACTCAGCTCAACCCGATATAACTAATTGGTAAAGTACTCAACTCTTACCATTAGGTCATTGTCCTTATGAGTTGGATATCAACTTGCCCACATGATACAATAGCATTTTATATCAAAAGCAGATGGCTAACTTTTTAAAAGCAACGAAAGACGTTCAAAACATGCTACTCAAAGATCCGATTGATATCAAGATTGGTTGTCAATAATACAAAGAAGATACTAAATCGCTCTCTCAAATTCTCACAAAAGAAAGAAAGTAACATGGAGGTATGGTGACCCCTATTTGCTTTGATCTATAACAAATTTTAAAGCATTTTTGCCTATAATAGGGTTTAGCAAAGTGACAAAAAGTTTCTTAATCAAAAGTACAAATATAAACAAACCAAATATAATCTCGAGCACATGACTCTGATAGCATCAATTTGAACAAACATGATTATGACAAATGACACGTTAAATTTCAATTATGAAACTACACTTGCTGGTTGTATATATGAATTATTCATAAAAAAAAATAATATTTTACTACTTTAGACGTAGAGTTACACTCTTATGCACTGGTAGAACAAGTTGTGTCAATACATATAATCATTATAAGCAAGTCAATCATTCACGAGTTGTTCATGAGTTCTACCACTTTAAATACATTTGATACATTTAGTAACTCTATACTCTAATGAATAATTTGTTTACCATTACTTAAGTCTCAAAATTAAAACTTAAGTGAACAACTGCTCGTCTACTAACCATATATGGAAAGAACTGAATTTCATCTCGTATAATTATATTCTCAGCTCTCCATTTGATCAAATCGGTAAGATAACAGACATATTGGATCAACTACAAAATTCATTCCCACTCATATAAATCAAACCACGAGCTCTTATGACTCATTTAGGATTGAGATTGAATCGCATCATTTTAAATTTATTAATTTCACTTATATCTAAGTTGTACTTACTTGAAAAGTGACGGGAAAGAGAATTAAGGTCAAACGTAAGCAGTCAAATTCTAACGACAAGAATAAAGTCAATGGAATAAATTGTCGGAATTTATTTGGGATAATTAATTTTTAGTCTATAAAAAAATTATTAACTAAAAGAAAAAAAAATCATTAGTTTCAATCCATGGACAATAAAAGAATAAATTATAAATAATAAATGAAATTTATAAGCATATCTATGTTGCTATCAGATGTGACAAAATTAATCCATTGACATAATTATTTTCACTTAAAAAACTATATTTTAATTTTTTAGAAAAATAATTATTGTAAAAAATTCATAAGGAATTGATGCAAATTTTATATTTCAATATTTTAATATAAACTTTCCATCCTAAAATATAAGTTAAATTTTAATTAATTAATTTATTTTTTTTAATTTAAGAGAAATTAATAAAATGAAATCTACAATCTCAAATTTATTTATTTACATTAAATTATAAATCAATTTCAATATATATTTTAAAAAATTAGGTAGTAAAAAAATTATTTTTAAAATTAAGAGATGCAGTTTAATATAAAAATGAACGTAACACATGAACTAACCAATTCAGCAAATTTTAATTTATTTAAATTCAAACTAAATTAGGTTTCAATTTTTTACGTCATCACATTTTTTCAACGGCAGAAAACAATAACCGATAAAAGGTTGATGGGCCCAGCTTTAACGTAACAAAGCCCACAAATGGTGAAACCTCCCTCTAGCAAACACGTTTTAAAATTGTGAGACTGACGACTATATGTATAGACTAAAGTAAACAATATTTGTTGTCGGTAGGTTTGAGCTATTACTAATGATATCATAGTCAAACACCGAGGAGTGTACTAGTCGGAGAAGAAATAAAACTATGAGGCTAATGACAATAAGTAACAGTTATTGTGGTATTGTTCGAGCGTCAACCATTCTAAAGTCGTGACGTTGCTTGTTATCATGCATAAAATGAATTAGTCTTTTACAAATCCACACCAATTTAAAAATCATGGTCTCTATACACTCTCCGTTTTATACATTTCTTGTTGTTGTACGCTTTCTCGCCTTCAATGGCGGGGACCCGCTTGTGTTTGTTACCCTTCTTACTCTATCCTTATTTTAATTCCTCCCACTCCCACTTCCCTATCTTCGATTTCACCAGATTTTATTCGCTTGTTCTTCATGTTCTTCATGTTCCTCGTTTTTCTTCTTCTGGGTTTTCTGTTTATTTGCTCCAAACCACAGATTTCGTTCGTTTCGAGTTGTAATCCTTAATGGGGTTTGGTTTCTCTGTTTCTCTCTGTCTCAGTTCATCTGGGTTTTGGTTGATTTTGATGAAACTCTGAAACTAGGTCGATTTTGAGTTGAAATCGGTGCGGATTTGAGAATTTTTGCTGGGTTTCTTCGTTTTCTTCTTGTTTTTCTGTTCTGATTCATTTGCTGAAACTGAGAAACTCCATTGATTCTGAGTTGAACTCTGTTTCTTCTTCTTCTTCTGCGATTGGGTTCTGATTCAAATGCAGAAAACAAATGAGAAACATGATGGATTTTGAGTTCAAATTAGTGTGGATTTGAGAATTTTTGCTTGGATTCTTCGTTTTCTTCTCGTTTTTTCTGTAATGGGTATTCTGTAATGGGTACTTCTGATTCATTTTCTGAAACTGAGAAACTCCATTGATTCTGAGTTGAACTCTGTTTCTCTCTCTGTTTCTTCTTCTTCTGCAATTGGGTTCTGATTCAAATGCAGGAAAAAACTGAGAAACCTGATGGATTTTGAGTTCAAATTAGTGTGGATTTGAGCATTTTTGCAGGGTTTCTTCGATTTCTTCTTGTTTTTCTGTAATGGGTATTTCTGATTCATTTGCTGAAACTGAGAGACTCCATTGATTCTGAGTTGAACTCTGTTTCTTCTTGTTCTTCTGCGATTGGGTTCTGATTCAAATACAGAAAAAAACTGACAAACTTGATGGATTTTGAGTTGAAATTGGTGTAGATTTGAGAATTTTTGCTGGGTTTCTTCGATTTCTTCTCGTTTTTCTGTAATGGATATTTCTGATTCAAATGCTGATAAGAACAGAGAAGCTTGATGGATTTTGAGTAGAAATCCTCTTGGGTTTAATCGAGCAAGTTTTCACCTCTGTTCTTCAGTTCTGATAAAAGTTTTGCAGATTTTGAATTGAAATCATAGTGGGGGTTGATTCTCAGTTTCAATTCCAGCAAGTTTTCACAAATCAATGGCCGGAATGTTGCCGGGAGTTGAATGCGCCAGAAGGCGGCGATTCCACCAGAGCATAACCTCATCGGACACGCCATCCACGGCGGCGAAATTAGGATCCACACGAAGGCCGTCGTTCTGTTTGTACACGAGCAACCGTGATTTTCACATCACTTCATCATCGTCTTGTTCACAGGTATGAATGAATGAAATCTAAGAATTTTTCTGTTTGTTTCGCGGGAAAATTCTGATGAATGTTGAACATAAAATTAAGCAACGGAGCTCATCCCATCAAGCTTACCAGAACGAGAAGCTTGGTGAAATTGCAAGAGAAGCTAAGGAACGGTTGGATGAGAGGTTAAGAACTCATAGAAAACCTGAAAATCCAAGGTAATTTCTTCTTTTGTTGTACGAGGATCAAATGATCGTTCGAATCTTCAAACCATAAAAACAAATCGAAACCGTTCAAATGAAAGGAACTAAATTTGTAATTTAACCTAAAATCAACGTTGAAATCGAAAATAATCATACAGGAAAAAGAGTGGAGAAGGGTTGAAGAACTCATCGGAAAAGAAAGAAAAAGCGAAGGGGAAAGAAGAATCAATAACGAAGAAGAGGTTCACTTGGGGGAAGCTGATGAAATGGAAAGCCTCGGAGCAGGAAGAGTGCGCCGTTTGTTTGGAAGGGTTCAGAGCGGGTGAGCCGTTGGTCCATCTTCCATGCGCCCACAAGTTCCACTCCGCGTGCTTGGTGCCTTGGCTCCAAACCAATGCCCATTGCCCATGCTGTAGGTTCCCGTTTCCCTCTTAATAACAAACCAATCACCGAGCTTGCGATTTTATATTGTTAGATGTACGAGAGAAGCGAAATAAGAAAGGATTTAGCCTCGACATTGCCATTAGGGATCTTGTTTTGCTCTTCAAGACTTTGTTTGTTATATTATATAATCCAAGTTCGGTTTCTTGTCTTCAAATTCACTTGAATCGAGCACATTGTGCGTTCCTTCTTAGATTCTATACTTGAAAACCAAATGGTATTTTTCCGATATTTTTTATATTCTAAATAAAATAAGTAATAAATATAAAAATATATAATATTTAAACTGTCAGCCTATAATTTATTTGTTTTATTGTAAATTTATTTTTATTTTTGGAATTAGATTAAAAATTTAAATATTTAATAAGAAAGATGAAATTGCATTAATATCGGACTAAGCATGTTTTGTTAAAAATTAATTGATTTCAATTATATATAAATATGGCAAAATCAAATTAAAATATTTAAATATAACAAAATTAAACAAAAAAATAAAATATTGTGTTAAATTTATTTTAGAAAATGGAATAAAATCAGTTAGGTCTGATGGGGTGATCAGCTTTACACCATTTAATTCCTTTTATAATACGGCATTATTACACCACTTTACTAATTTTTTTAATTAAAAATAAATAAATAATTTTCTCTCCCCTCGCTTATTATTAAATAATAATTTCAGATCTATTCTACGGCGAGGAAATAAGTTATTAATTTTTAAATAATATTGAATATATATGTTTAAAATAAAACTCAAAATTCATATTTACAAAATTGAAAAATTAGAAATGTATTAAATATTTTTAAAATTAAAGAATTATTAAATTCAAACTCGGAGCAACTAAGTTTATTTTTGAGATATAACTTATTTAAATTTTTATTCTTTTTAATTATAAAAAAAAAAAAAAGACACAAATATGAATATATTTTCAAAATTTAAAAAGTGAGTACTAATTTTATATTTTTAATTAAAATGGGACTATTTCCATCTCTATGGGCCCTCCTTCTCTATCTATCTTCCCCAGATGGCCCAGCCCATTTTTCTTTCTTTTATTCGGCCCGGCCCAGCCCAGCCCAATTTATTTTATTTTATTTTTCAGACAAATAACTTCGAAATTGCTCGATAAACCCTCTCCCTCCCGCTTCAGTACCCTTCTTTCAGCATTTGGTCTACCGTAGGCACCATAGTTGTTTTGGAGAAGCTTTTTCTGTCTTTGAGGTAAGTTTTACTGATGTTTTCCGGTTCTGAGTTGAATTTCTATTGATTCGTGGTAAGGATAGTTCGATTTGCACGAATCCTAACTTACTTCGCTTTATTTCTTCTTTTTGAGCTTATGGAATGAACTGGAAATTTTCTGAATACTGGGAGGATCTGAGAGCCCATTTCACTCTGTCTTTCAGTGTTAGAAGAACAGATGTATTTCCTGTTCCTAATGTTCATTGATATAGTTGCATTTCCCGCTAATTTCATGGTTTTTTTTTTCTTAATGATGTAGTGTGGGTTTCAATTTTGGTGTCATTAGGAGGATTAGAGAGTTTATTGGGTGTATAGTTTGGAAATTAGTTTAGGGTTTAGGGTTTAGGTGACTGGAGAGAAAAAATGTAAGGGCTGGGAGAGAGAAGGAGAGAGATGGAGAGAGTGCGGTGGAGGGAAGGGGGAGTTTGGAGTACCTGCCACAACTCTTAAAAAACCCTAATTCATTGTCCTTTTCTGGAGTGGCTGATCTTTTAGTTTTGGCTTGATTGATAATGCATTATGCAACTTTTCATCATATCAATGAAAAGTGTTTCTTGTATAAAAAAGTAAGGAAAGTTCTGTCTTTCTGCTTGTTGATTATTTCCCTCTCAAATGTATAAAAAAAATAGGCATCAATCCCAGACTGTATTCAGTAGCTACATTATCGAATTCCAGGCCTTTTTAGTTAAATAGATTGCAACATAAAGTTACTTTCTCATGTAATATTGCAGCTTTGAGAATACTAAGCATGGATGATAGCTTGTATGATGAGTTTGGGAACTACATAGGGCCAGAAATTGATTCTGACAAGGATAGTGACATAGAAGATGAAGATGAAGACCTTATGGAGAAGCCTGACGATGATGAAGGTGTATCAGATGGTGAAGACGCAGGTGGTGCTTCAAATGGTTGGATTACAACGTCTAATGACGTCGATATGGACAACCAGATTGTCCTTGCTGAGGACAAAAAGTATTATCCAACTGCAGAAGAGGTTTATGGTGATGATGTTGAAACATTGGTTATGGATGAAGATGAACTACCACTTGAGCAACCAATCATTAAGCCTGTTAGAAATATAAAGTTTGAGGTTGGGGTAAAAGATTCTAGCACTTACGTTTCAAACCAATTTCTGGTGGGTCTCATGTCCAATCCAACATTGGTTCGCAATGTTGCACTTGTAGGCCACTTGCATCATGGAAAGACAGTTTTCATGGATATGTTGGTTGAGCAAACACATCACATGTCAACATTTGATATTAAAGGAGAGAAACATCTGAGGTACACAGATACAAGGATTGACGAGCAGGAGAGAGGAATATCAATTAAGGCAGTTCCTATGTCACTAGTCCTCGAGGACGGCAATTCAAAATCATACCTTTGCAATATAATGGACACCCCTGGCCATACCAATTTTTCTGATGAAATGACTGCTGCTCTTAGACTGGCTGATGGTGCAGTGTTGATTGTCGATGCTGCTGAAGGAGTTATGGTAAGTAAATAAGTCGCGATCGTAGTTTCTTTTATTTACTTTTAGCTTTATATGCTGACTTTTAGATTTTTTTGCATAATCAATAGTTGCGAGGGAATTAGCAAATTTCCCTTTTATTTTCTTAGCGGTTTAAACATCATTTCATATCCCAATTTACTTTTACCTGTGGCTAGGGCACCTCATTTTAGCATCAATGGAGGAGTACTTAATGCTCTTTGCATATGTTTAGGATTTCTGCAATCATTTTACTGCAATATTTAACCATATAAACAGTGTGGGTTGTTCGATATTCCTTGCATGTAGTTTCTATATATTATGAAATTACTGATATTGCTGTCTTATGGAGAGAGCGCTGAGGATGGGATAATAGATTCATTAATGAGATTGTACTCTACAACCTACAGGTCAATACAGAGAGGGCTATGCGCCATGCAATTCAGGAGCGCTTGCCCATTGTTGTTGTAATTAACAAGGTTAGCCTACTGGACTCCTTTTAATTTCCTATTAGATTTTTGAAAGTTGGATCCCTTCAAACACCACATGTTTATTTTATACTAATGCAGTATTTGTATCTAGGTTGACAAGCTGATTACAGAACTCAAATTGCCCCCAAGGGATGCATACTATAAATTAAGGCATACGTTAGAAGTTATTAATAACTATATATCTGCTGCCTCATCTACTGCTGGAAATGTCCAAGTCATTGACCCAGCGGCTGGAAACGTGTGTTTTGCTAGTGCTACTGCAGGATGGTCATTTACTTTGCAATCATTTGCAAAGTTATATGTCAAACTTCATGGAATCCCTTTTGATGCTGATAAGTTTGCATCTCGTCTTTGGGGAGACTACTATTTTCATTCTGATACCAGAGGATTCAAGAAAAAACCACCTGCAAGTGGAGGGGAAAGGTCATTTGTCCAATTTGTGCTAGAGCCACTATACAAAATATATAGTCAAGTCATTGGTGAACATAGGAAAAGTGTCGAGACTACTCTTTCGGAGCTTGGTGTTACTCTTAGCAATGCAGCTTACAAGTTGAATGTCAGGCCTTTGCTGAGACTGGCTTGTAGTTCAGTTTTTGGTGGAGCTTCCGGATTCACTGACATGCTAGTTCAGCACATACCTTCTCCCAGGGATTCTTCTTCTCGGAAGGTTGATCATATTTATACTGGGCCTAAAGACTCTGTGATATACAAAGCAATGAAGGAATGTGATCCTTCTGGGCCTTTAATGGTCAATGTCACCAAACTATATCCCAAGTCAGACTGCAGTGTCTTTGATGCATTTGGTAGGGTTTATAGTGGTAAGATTCAAACGGGGCAGACTGTTCGGGTATTGGGTGAAGGCTATTCACCAGAGGATGAGGAAGATATGACAGTGAAGGAAGTAACAAAATTATGGCTTTATCAAGCTCGAGACAGGATTCCCATTGCTGAGGCTCCTCCTGGATCTTGGGTTCTCATTGAGGGAGTGGATGCATCTATTATGAAAACTGCAACTCTGTCTAATGTAGATTACGATGAGGACGTTTACATATTCCGACCACTACAATTCAATACCCTTCCTGTGGTGAAAACAGCTACAGAGCCTCTAAATCCAAGTGAGTTACCAAAGATGGTAGAGGGTCTTCGGAAGATCAGCAAAAGTTATCCTCTGGCAATAACTAAAGTTGAGGAATCTGGTGAGCATACCATTTTAGGCACAGGAGAGCTGTACTTGGATTCAATTATGAAGGATCTTAGAGAGCTCTATTCGGAAGTAGAGGTTAAGGTATTCTTTTATTCAATTGCCCCTCTCTTCTTGTTCCCCCTTTTCTTTTTCTTTGTTCTTCTCTGATGGATATTCTCTGTAACCCATTATATAGGTAGCCGATCCGGTCGTCTCATTTTGTGAAACAGTTGTAGAGTCTTCTTCGATGAAATGTTTTGCTGAGACTCCTAACAAGAAGAATAAAATAACCATGGTAGGCAATTTTCAAAATTGGCTGTTTTTGTTTATTCTGGAGCTTTTAAATTCTTGAAATGTGATGTGGTACTTCAATTTTTTCTCTAGATCGCAGAGCCGTTGGAGAGAGGACTTGCAGAAGACATTGAGAATAGTGTAGTAAGTCTTGATTGGTCAAGAAAGAAACTCGGGGATTTCTTCCAGACAAAATATGAATGGGATTTGCTGGCTGCAAGGTCCATATGGGCATTTGGCCCAGATAAGCAGGTAACTTTTGTAGCTCGTAATCTCTTTACTCAAATATATATCCTCTAAATGTACCCATAAGTTGAGGCTTCCTTGTCGAAGGGTAAAATTGAAACTGGTAATTTTTCACTGCAGATTGACTTTATTTGAAGTATAATTTTTCATTAGACTTATCCTTTATTAGACATTAATTTTAGCATCTTCTATCATATAAAGTTTAAGAATTTGATAGGCGGCATGT